GATCTTTGTGGTACAGGTCTTCGGCGGACTCGAAGCGACTCCTCACCAGATCTGAGCTATACTTCTGACACAATATGTCATTGTATTCACGACTCAACACATTGTGAGTCGTGTTCTTCAGACGCTTCCCAGACATCACTTCCAATCAGATCCGATGCACTCAATGAACACAATGTCTTAGCGAAAGGAAAGCATTTTATGGACAAAACGTCTCACTCGCGGAGAGTATGACAGAGAATGAGAGAGACTTTGAGAGAGACTTAGAGAGAGATGTGTTGTGTTTGTCGTACACTTCAATGCTTACATCCATTCACACAAACATCACATTCAGTGGTCAACCCATACAACACGTACCCAACACGTGAGGGAAGGCTTACCACTGAAGCACCACTTGTTATGCAATTGTTACCTATTATTTGAAATTATATAAAAAGGGGACAAATTATGTATATTTTTGTTACGTTCTCTATGACAGACCCCATACACGCTCATCATATGTGTGCTCACGTATTATGTGAACGAACTTTAAATTAAAAAGTTTTTTAAATATCCCTTTAAATGTGTAGAAAAGGCATTTAATTGATGCACTAATCATATGATTCACTTAATAGTAAATTAGTTTGTTTTGTCAAATATGATTGACTCGTATTTAAAGTAAATAATTGTCAAAAATCCCTTATATATTGCTCATTATTCATATTTTACTATTTAAATACTTTTTATGAATTAAAGTCATTCATTGAATCACAAATTTTTAATTCAAATGTTTATTCAGTTTACATTCAAACGTTAAATAAAATATCAATTATGATAATTTATGGTAAGGTGATAGAAAATTTTAAAACTGTTATAGTATAACATTATGATAATTGAAAATGATATACAAATGTTCAAATGATTGAATGATAGGATTATATAAAAAGACAATAGTTTTCAAAAGTATTCAAAAAAGAGATAATGTTTGACAATATGTTTGAGAATTAATGCTTTCTCTAAATAAAACTCTTGTATAAAGATCTCTATTGAGAACGGGAGTTATATTTTTATAAATTAAAATCCGGTTAACAACTAGTGTAGCAACTATCGTTAGCACCCTATGAAGAACAGCCTGTGCTCTTGAAAGCTTTGTTTCTTCAGACAAATTGTCTCTAATTTGCGGAAATGAGACAATAATTGCAAATACTTGTCATACAACTGCTCATCAAATTGAAACTCCAAATTAATGAAATACAGTTTTGGCATATTTTGGGACCAATTGACGAAGAATGTCTCGTCGGCATCGATGGTCTTGTATAGCATTAGAGTTAAATGAGTTAAACGATTGAATCCAATGAGTGATTCAATCTTAGGTGTGCCCTCCAGTTTCAATCGCTTCAGACCTTTGAAGTGATCGTTAATTTTGTCGACTATTNATAACCACAAGAAGACGTTGAAGTTTATTGATATGCAAATGGCATTCAAGTACTACGAGGACAGGACATTGAATGCTCTGTTGAATGGTTTGCCACAAATGGAGGCATTGATTGGACTGAAGATATCGGGCGCCGTCATCAACGATGACCACAAGTTTGCCAAACAATTGAAACAAATGGCCACTAAAGGGGTCCGTCTCAAGAGAATTTCGCTGACATCGGACAGCGTAACCGATCCAATAGTCGACAAAATTAACGATCACTTCAAAGGTCTGAAGCGATTGAAACTGGAGGGCACACCTAAGATTGAATCACTCATTGGATTCAATCGTTTAACTCATTTAACTCTAATGCTATACAAGACCATCGATGCCGACGAGACATTCTTCGTCAATTGGTCCCAAAATATGCCAAAACTGTATTTCATTAATTTGGAGTTTCAATTTGATGAGCAGTTGTATGACAAGTATTTGCAATTATTGTCTCATTTCCGCAAATTAGAGACAATTTGTCTGAAGAAACAAAGCTTTCAAGACGTGTCCGACAAGAAGTATCCCACGATTGCTATCAACGATGTGATCAACAATTGGCCTAAAATTAAATATTTTTATATTGAGGGCAAGAGTTATCTCTAGAAATATGTTCTCAAAATAAATCTCTTTTTGCATTAATTCTCAAACATATTGTCAAACATTATCTCTTTTTTAAATACTTTTGAAAACTATTGTTTTTTTTATATAATCCTATCACTCAATCATTTGAATATTTGTATATCATTTTCAATTATATACTATACTATTAACATGTTATACTATAACAGTTTTAAAATTTTCTATCACCTTACCATAAATTATCATAATTGATATTTCATTTAACGTTTGAATGTAAACTGAATAAAAATTTGAATTAAAAACTTGCGATTCAATGAATGACTTTAATTGATAAAAAGTATTTAAATAGTAAAATATGAATAATGAGCAATAAATAAGCGATTTTTTGACAATTATTTACTTTAAATACGAGTCAATCATATTTGACAATTAAAACAAACTCTAATTCACTATTAAGTGAATCACATGATTAGTGCATCAATTAAATGCCTTTTCTACACATTTAAAGGGATATTTAAAAAACTTTTTAATTTAAAGTTCGTTCACATAATACGTGGGCCACACATATGATGAGCGTGTATGGGGTCTGTCATAGAGAACGTAACAAAAATATACATAATTTGTCCCCTTTTTACGGAATTCCAAATAATAGGTAACAATTGCATAACAAGTGGTGCTTCAGTGGTAAGCCTTCCCTCACGTGTTGGGCACGTGTTGTATGGGTTGACCAGTGAATGTGATGTTTGTGTGAATGGATGTAAGCATTGAAGTGAAGGCAAGTGTACGACAAACACAACACATCTCTCTCTAAGTCTCTCTCATTCTCTGTCATACTCTCCAAGAGTGAGACGTTTTGTCCATAAAATGCTTTCCTTTCGCTAAGACATTGTGTTCATTGAGTGCATCGGATCTGATTGAAAGTGATGTCTGGCAAGCGTCTGAAGAACACGACTCACAATGTGTTGAGTCGTGAATACAATGACATATTGTGTCAGAAGTATAGCTCAGATCTGGTGAGGAGTCGCTTCGAGTCCGCCGAAGACCTGTACCACAAAGATCTGTACTCTCACTACGGATGTGTGAACGCCATCGAGTTCTCAGACAACGGCCAATACATGGTCTCAGGTATGTCTCACGCTATGCCTCCCAACCCTCCCAATGCCTGCACTAACCCTAACCCCTAACCCATTGACTGATGACACGCTGTTTGCCATCACAGGTGGTGACGACCGACGGATACTCTTATGGGACGTCCAGAAAGCCATATCAGGTTTGGGATCAGCTTTTGGTTAATATATTCATTGATTGAATGATTGCATGGATTGTGTAAATGATGTGATTTTGTGAGCAAATGAGTGGAAATGCAATGCCTTTCCAGGCATTCAATGCTTTCATATCTCATAGCAATTGAGTGTTTATGTAATCAATCGATTGACTGCTTATGTCTTCACTCGTGTCTCACTGCATGTCTGATCCCAACTCCAGGTGCGGGTCAGCCGCAGACCATGAAAGGCGAGCACAACTCAAACATCTTTTGCTTGGGTTTCGACTCCCGATGTCATCGACTCTTCAGCGCCGGAAACGACGAGTTGGTTATGATTCACGACTCAGTGACGGGTGAGACCGTGGATGTGATCCTTCACAACGATGCCATATATGGTCTGTCAGTGAATCCATTCGACGACAACATCTTCGCGAGCGCTTGTGATGACGGGAGGGTCTGTCTCTGGGATCTCCGCAAAGAGACGGTTCGGGAGACGACTGTATTGGCGCGCTATTCGTCGGCCTTTCACGCGGTTATGTATAACCCGTTTGAGAGCAGACTTGTGGTGACGGCCAATACGAAGGAAGGGATCGCCGTCTGGGACGTCAGGAAACCTCTCTGTGTTCTCCAGCAATACAACCCATCGATGCTGTCCTCCCAGAGCGCGATGTCCGTCCGTTTCAACAAAACTGGAACTCTTATACTCGGATTGCGTCGACGTCTGCCTCCAGTCCTCTATAACCTGAGGTCTTCGTATCCGATCGTAGAGTTCGATGACTCGGGATATTATAACTCGTGTACAATGAAGAGCTGCTGCTTCGGCGGTGATTCCGATCAATACATACTCTCGGGATCCGATGACTTCAGACTCTATATGTGGAGAATCCCTGAAGAGGTCTATCAAAACGGAGAATCAAATTCTTCGGAGTGTTTTGTGGAGAAGGCGGACCTAGTGTTGAGTGGACACCGGTATGGACTCACCTATACTTGTGATTGCATTGATGTATGATTTAATGAAAACTCTATGTCTGAACAGATCTATCGTGAATCAGGTTCGCTATAATTACACGAATTCTGTAATCGCTTCTTCTGGTGTCGAAAAAGTGATTAAACTCTGGAGTTCTTTCCCATTGCCTGAGGGAAAGGGAGGGCTCCTTAAGAAGCCTACTTACAAAGAGCACCGACAGGTGTTCAGTCACGAGGACTACATAAATCTGGTGCTAGAGAGCGGACAGTTTGTGACTCACGACTACAGCCATCAGTCAGTTCAAGAGGACCCGCGAATGATGGCCTTCTTTGACTCGTTAGTCCAGCGGGATATCGAGGGCTGGACTTCGGACTCAAGTAATAGCATTGACGGCGAAAGCAATTTCTATGAGCTCTGTTGGAATACCGTTCACTCAGACGACTCCCACAGCTCTAACTCCAGTTCCCATAACTCTGATAACGAGGACTCCATTGAAGGCTTAAACAGTCATTACTATAAATATTTGGATATAATATCGAAACGGATTGAAGGGAACGAACAAAAGTCAGGCAAAAGGAGCGCTGAATTAGACCCCGAATTGGCGACCACTTCAACGGCCGGTTCGACGACAGAGTCGGTCACAACACATCCCAAAGCAATTCGGGATCGACTCGTGAATGAGAGCGAAGACAAGACTCGGGAGAAGAAGGGTTTGAATCGCATATCAGAACTCATAACTGAGAAGAAGAGGGAACAGCTGAAGAAATTGATTAGAGTTGCCGTTCGGATGACCAGAAAGAAGTTGAAGCGCTTCCAGAAGCGGTCGGACACTAAAGGCAAATACGATGTGACGGCCAATAGTGAGGCCGACAAACAACGGTTGGAGGACTTGAAGCAGAAATTGGATTATTTGGCGCAACGCGTCAACTGTCAGACCACTACCAGTGACTCGAAGGCCGACAAACAGGCGTTCAATAGTCACCGCAATTACAGAAGACTTCGTTTGCTGACGAATCAAAGCGATTTAGTGTTCAATGAAGTGCTTCCTGTCGTGTCGTCTTCTTCGAGCTCAGACTCGGATGACTCGGTTGTGTCCGGAGAAGAGCTCTATAACGCCATCTCCACCGAAATGAGTCGAATGCGGAGTATTATGAGCGCCGACACCGACTCGAGTGATAGTAGCAGTAGTAGTAGTGTTAGTCTCATCCAAACCAATGCCACCAACGCGTCGACTGCGGCTAATAATAAACACAAACACAGCTCCAGTAGTAGTGATGAGGAGACCAACGACAAGGAGACCGACAAACAGACAATCAGTGAAAGCAAACACAACAACAGGAGTCGACTCAGCTTTTTGTCCTCTTATGCGGACAATGATAGTGATAGTGACGACGAGGGCTCGACCACCGGTATTCTGGAGCCGGTTATCCATTGCCCCTATAAACACAACTTATGTCACGCGACCACATCTACCGGCGCTAAGTCTGATAAGTCTGACGCCATGAGGAAGTCGTCAATATTCAAGCCTATCGACAGCGCTCTCATTCATCGCACTTACCGGAAGCGCCAGAAGAGTGGAACCGTTAGTCGAGACAAAAGCGACGACAAGAAGAGCACTAATAATGATGATAATAATGATTCCCAAAATGCAAACAATAATAACAAAAGTGATACAAATAATGAAACAAAAAGTAATACAAATCATGAATTAAGTGACAAATAAAATAAAACTCAAAGTTTTGCACAATTTTTGACAATAAATTTGTGAGAAAATGAAATATTAATAAGTAATTACATATGAATTTATGAATAACTATTAACTAATTGTATTTAAAATATTATTATTATTATTATTGAGAAGTTTGTTAAATAATATAATATATAAATATTATTATATGTATTTATAAATTATTAAAAATGAGTTATTAATTGATTCTTGTAATGTTCATCTCATTTTAAATGAGAATTTATTTTTATTTTTGAAAATCGGTTCACAATTACATATCCGTAAACGAATCGATTATGTTATTTTATTTTTTATGACAATTAATACGAGAATTACAAACAGACAAATGAAATACTCGTTTGTCTTCACAATTACGAATAAATAACAATATAATCGATGTTTTTATATTTAAATTATATATTTTTTTCTCTTTTTCTTCGATGCTTTTTAATAATAATCATATGTTTTGTTTGATTTGTTAATAATATTAATAATACAAGAAAATGAATATTTCGTACAAACTATAAATAAAATTAATAAATAGGTTTTGTTTTGTTTTTGTAAAATTAATATAAAGTTTTTGTCTCAAATATTTTTAGTCTCATTTGATATACTATTGAAATACGTGTCCTCTAATGGAAGCTCTAATTATTTTCTATTCATTCAAATGTCTAAATTAATTTTGATTTTAATCATTAATTTAGATGTTATTCACATATGTTTTAAACAAAGATGTCTTAAAACAATGTATTTAAAAAGCAAATAACGACGACAGGGAGGGCCCACTCACAGACGGTCGAGACACCGGCCTCTGCAGCTATAAAGCCAGTAAAATAGCCTTTCCTTTCATACATTCGCATGTTTTGTGTGTAATTCAATTGACAATACATTCACAGACAATATAACATTACTTATGAAATAATGTTTTAAAGAGTTTCGACTTCTTCTCCTTCTCGACCGAACCCTTGCCCTCATTCGGGGTGTGCTTTAAGCTCGTGTCCGATGTGTCCGGTGTTTGTTCGGGGCCTGAGTTCTCTTGACTGTCACACTCGACCCGCTTCTTAGACTCGTCGCCATTATATATCTAACCAATCGATTAACAAAACAAAAAACATTACTTTGTTTTTACTCTCTATTTATCAGTTTCTAAGATAAAGTGTTGTATCGATTCTATGATAAGATTTATAGCATTACAGACGTCTTGTATAACGAGAACGCAATCAATAAAAATAATACACAACTAAAGGAAGACAAAAGCAGAGAGAGAGGGAGAGAGAGAGAGAGGGAGAGAGAGAGAGGCGGATATGGGAAGGGAGGGACACATTATAAATGATGATAATATATGAACGGACGGACCTCTGCGTCAGCGTCGGGACCGATGAGAGAACAGGAAGAGAAGAATGGCTTTAAACTGGGTTTAGGTATCGAAGATATGCTGATGTCATCGAAGTCCTGTCCGCTATCACTCAAGTCGTCGATATCTTCCTCTTCGAAGAATTCGTCGATTTCTCTCGAGTTCTGGAGCTCTTCGGAAGCCATGAGTTGTTGTTCGATCGCCGCCTGATATTGTTCTTCGGTGTCGAACTGTTCGGAGTCGGGTAACCGAAACTTCTTCAGCAAAGCTATGAATTTTTGCTTCAGATTCCTGTCATTCCGTTGTTGTGCGTTGGGATCGGAGCCACTGGCCTCTCGACTCGTGAATAACTTGCGGTGTTTGCGAGGGTCCACTTGTCGGCGCCACTGGTTAACCCGTTCCCGATTGCTCGAGTGGGGGCCGGCCGACGGCTCCTCTGCCGTCTCACTATCACTGTTCTCCTCGCCGGACGAGAAGTCCTCCTCATCGCTGTCCACCTCTGCGGACCTGTCCAGTGAGTGGTCTAACGGCACTTTCATTGGTCGCCCATTACTACTGGTGTCCACGGGTTGACTCCTCAGCGATGAGATGGATATCCTGGCGATGGTCTCGTTTTTGCCCAACTCTTTGGAGTTCGCAATCAGTTCTAACTCTTTTTCTATATTCGTCGACCTCTGCAACACTTCGGCCATATTTATGAGACCGAAGGCCAGTGTCTTAAAGCCGAGAATCGCGCGGTTTTTATAGCGTTTGCGCCTTTGGATTATGATTTGTAACTGATTTCCGTTTCGCTTCAAAAAGTGCGGGTATTGTAGTGAGAATGAGAGGTCGAGTTCGACAGCACCGGCACTCGACTCCATCACATTCTCCACTTTAATCTCATTGGATCTAAGCGTACGTTTAGAGCTCTGCATTTTGACCGCAATCATAATTGTGGTCACATCTGGTCCTAAAGGCTTACATAACACCAATCGAGTGATGTTTAGCGAACAGAGTCTGAAATAAACATTGAAAATGTAATTCACTTTGAAATCCTCCAAATTATAGCATTCAATCAAAATGTTGGCATAATTTCCAAAGTAACAAAAATAAACTTTTAAATTCAAGTTTCAATTTAAGCGCTTATAAGGCATGTGTTATAAATTATAATATTTAAATATTTGCTAAAAATATATGTTTAGATAATTTGATTTACTTAACGATAAAATGATAAAAATTTCTAAAAATATATCAAAATTACATTTTTGCCGCTAATCTCTTGACAACAGACACACAACTTATAAATTAAACGCTAGTATGAGAATAATTATGAAATGAATCAATTAATATATAAATAAATAATTCATTGAATTCTTATGCATAATATGTTATATGTTTTTTGAGCGGAAAAATCGATTTCAATGGAAATAACATTTTATTCCTTATGTTTGTTGTATTAACTGTTAACTCATATATTGAGAGCACTTTTTTCACTCGAAAAGCAATCATTTATTGCAAACATAGTAATCGTTTTGCTTTTGTAAACCTCAAGAGAATTAAATTTTTTGAAAATGGCTTTAGGTTCAGAAAAATTTTAGTTTATTTAATTACCAAAAAATTTTATAGAATATAATTGTATTAACCATTTCATAAAATATGTAATAATTCTCGACTGTATGTTCAATAATAACAAACTTAATAATAATAATCAAATGGAGTTTTAGGAAATATAGGCAAAAATTGGGACAAATTCTAATTGAAATCAATCATTGACTATAACCTATAGTATAAACACTTTTATCTAATTTCACATTCATTTGAATCGATGGAAAAAAGCCAAACCAGAGAAAACAAGTCAATTGATTGAGAAAACAAGACATTTCACTGGTATTAATAGCATTTCAATTCGCGATATAAAAGAGTTTGCAAAATATTTTTTCTAAACAAATTTGAAACAAAATTTTCGTTTTTCGAGTTTAAAATCTGTTTCTATATATAAAAAGGGATTCAAAATAATGTGCAAATAGTTGGCGAATAGATTCTGTGACACAATTATTGGCACAGAAACTTGTTTCAAAAACATTTCCATTCAATTTAAACGAGTGAATAAAAATGCAAAACAAATCCAATCTTAAAATATTACAAAAGGTTTTGCAGCGAAAAATCTAATTAAAAGCGAAAAAAACATTTCTCAAACACTGTCTACAGTATTACATTTTACATCATAATTATAAGCCTTTGAATAAAAACATATCATTATTCTTAGACACCGTTATTATGTATTAATATTCAAAACATATCTGAAAAGAAAAATTGTTTTGAAAATATAATTTCCTTAAAATCTATAAAACGGTGACAATTCTTATGAGCAGTTGTTCCGCACGAAGAGACAAGACATTTATCAATAAACGGGTCACTCTTTTTGTCTCATTAAGAGGTGACTCACAATACAGGAGTCTATTAGAGACCAGAATTTTGCTAACCGATTGTGAAATGTCAGCTCATTTGAGACATAACTCGCGAAAATAAAGTATTTATTAAACGACAAAAATATTTCTTCGTGTGTGAACTCAAACACGACTACAATAACACACACAACGCTTGACAGATAAGAGGCAGTGATTGAAATTAAATGTCAAACCATTCGGAAACAAAAAATAATAAACAATAAAATAATAGGAAATGTAAAAACATAATACTTTCGTATAGTACATACAATATGGTGTACAGGTGTTGTAATATAGAGTACACATACCTGGGAATGCAATTGGAAGGTGTCTTATCGACTTCCCACCCGCCAAACAGTTTCATAGGCACTGGTCTGTTGGGCCAAACGGCACCGGCCGTCGCCGGTTTGCCACCACTTTTGTCCGTCTTGTCGGTCATTGTCTTGAAAACATATATAGAGATGTATTAATCGATAATTTGACGACTTTTGTTCACTAAAAACCAATTACGAGAAGCAGTCTATCGATTGGGAAAACAACACAAAAAATGAGATATGATTTAATGATTTAATGACAATACGCGATAAACAAGAATTCACGTCAATTTTAAATATAGAAATCGCTATTAAAGTCTAATAATAAAATTGTTTGGATTAATGATATTTCAAGTAAAAAACACGATTACTATTAATATATAATTCATAGCAAACAATGAATGGGATATTTAAAATTGATTTTCACTCTACACTAGTCTACCAACCTATTCATACGAGTTATGAATACCTATATTTATATTTACTATAAAATTGCATAAATATACCAATACTGTATATAACTTTTAAATAAATTACACAAAACTTTATATTTATGACATTTTCAAAATTATTACTATTGAGTATTGGGTTTGTATTACATTAACTCATGAAATATATGAATAATATTTCTATAATTTAACGTTTGCATCAATACATTATTAATCAAATCATTTTCAAATACACATCAAATTGTGTGAAAAATACTAAATATTTAACGCATTCATAAAATTGTCAAGTTTTATGCTTTAATATACATTATTATTATTAATGTTTAAAAATTCAAACAAAACTCATAAGAAATGAATGAAAATTGAATTAAGTGTTCACATAATTGTCATCTCAAACACAAACATCACATTCATATCGACACTAATCACTAAATAGTTATTTCAAATTCAAATCTAATGCCAAACTTCAACACTAAATATACAAACAATGAGTGAAATATCATTAATATCTCAAATATTTCATACATATCTCAACGTTAGTCACAAACAATCATTTGTTGAATATTTAGTGATTCATTAAACCGTTTATAGTTATATTGATAGCTATTTATTTGTGTTGATTATGGCATACAAATGCTGTATATATTTAATGGAAAACATTTCACAAACACTTTAATCACTGTTTAAACACTCAATGCATTAGACGTTTAAATCGCAAACCAATTGACAGTGAAAACAACAAAAAGCAAAACCTTTTAAACTATCATTGAATAAGTGATTAACTAATCATAAAATACACAATTAATAGCCAAATATATTAATAACTCGTATAATGTTTGCCTAAAAACTAATTACTATTTTTTGACATTTCATGTCATTTCACAGCAAAAGGCAAAACAAAACAAAACAATTTCACTTCAATTGCCATTTCATAGGAAATATACTCACGGCTTGAATGACGAAGAAGTGGTGATAATATGATCGCTGAATGCTTTCACACACCACTCATACAAGACATTGCATTTGTTCGGTGAGCTGTCGTGGATCAGGGATCAGGTCTGTGGCGGTCTTCAAACCAATCAAATGATGGCAAACGTACTGACAGTCATTGCGGACATAAGAATTGNGATATGTCATCCGTTAGGAAATCAATATTTCTGTTCTTCCGCGGCGTTACTGACTGTGGACTCAAATGCGAACTCATATTATTATACGACTCTTTAATTCGACTAATTTGTGGATCAATTAAAGATGGCGTCTGAATGGGTGTTGTGCTGAATGGGCGCATAGATGGAGAAGCGGGAGACACTGCTATTCGACTACTTCTTAGTGGTGACAAAACAGAAGGTGATGTCGATGTCGAAAGGCTTCGAGTGATACTATTCATCGATGGGTTTAGAGCACTGGGAGTAGAGGACAGAGCAGACAATCCCTGTTTGGAAGTGCTATGACTTCTGCTTCTGAATGGTGAGGACGAGGAGTTCGTGAAGGCGTTTGTCTGATAACTCGATTGTTTGCTCGACGGCACAAATGGTGAGTCACTGAGTGGGTCGTCGCCTGAGAAGCAGTCATATAAAGTGCTGTTACAGGAGTTGGTCACCCATTTCACCTCCTCTTCATTGGCCTCCCGGAGCGCGTAAATTATATGAACGCCAGTAGTCTTGTAGTAGAATATAAGTAGAGAGCGCTCTTCGATGACAGCAACCAATTCCAGCGTATCTTCGGCTGTAATATAACTGATTTGTTGTGACTTAAGACTCGTCGCCGAACGGCTCATAATAATGGGTGCGATCTCTTTGAGTGGATGACTTAAACTGAATATCAATGGCAAGAGTTTGTCATTCGCTTCGCTATTCAGTGGCGTCCTCTCCAACAAGAGTCCAAATTTGGTCGAAAATATTTTCGTTACCTTTAAATGAATGCATCAATAGTTGCGATAAACATCTCATTGTGTTTACAATTAAGTGATTCAATACTTGGAACTGAAGGGCAATTGGGAAGTGATCTCCAGTTGTGGTGAAGATCTCGAGCGAAATGTTGTCCAAAATACAAATGGAGTGAACGATGTCTTCAGTCAACTCATCCCTAAAGTCACACCAAATGGCGTCACAGATCCTGTTCTCAATGGTGAACGTCTTAATCAGATGAGACAATTGGTTGCCATCACTTCGGCTCCAAATGACAACTTTGTCGCTGAAATACAGCTCTTCCTCGCCTTCGGGACTCTCTCTTAGTCTCCAGTTTTCTCTCTGAAAACAAACAAAGTCTTAGAGATATTGTTCACAAAGATAGCGACTGTCAACGCATTTACGGAAGTGTTGTCTTCGACGGTGACGGCCTTGAGAGCCCTGAAGAGGTCACGGCTGGGGTCGGTCTCAGCGCTGGTCCAGAAGGAGATGTTATTCAACGGCAGTAAACCGTTGTGTTTGGGATGTAATGGCATCAGAAGCCGACCGAACGGCTCGAACTCATTGATTGTCTCCAAAATCGATACAATCATTTCGGATGTGATGTCCGATAGGGTGTCCAGAGTTTCGGATCAATTGGTGACTCAAATCACAGCAAACTTATCTCACAAATGATTGCCTTTTGAACGCTATNACTCATTGATTGTCTCCAAAATCGATACAATCATTTCGGATGTGATGTCCGATAGGGTGTCCAGAGTTTCGGATCAATTGGTGACTCAAATCACAGCAAACTTATCTCACAAATGATTGCCTTTTGAACGCTATTTGCCGACAAAAACATTCAAAACGTGAGGTTCAATGGATCACATCCAGTGATGCAATGCGTGTCCAACAGATGTCGTGTCATATGCTTAGAGCGAGTGAGTGTTGGGCGGAGAGTGAGTGTATGAATGGCACTGCAATTGCCTGTAATCATAGTGTTGTGGCTGTGAGTGAGTGTTGAGTGTGAGTGAGTGTGTGTTGACTGTGAGTGTGAGTGCGGACTCTTTGCACCAATTGTCAGATGACTGTCAGTGCAGTCTGTGTGAGCAGACATGGCTACTATGAGGACCAATTGAGGTGATGTCACCACAAACACATCCGCATCACATGACCACTACCATCACCACACATGCCATACAACAGTGCATTCATTTCACACCAATTCTTATGTCCGCAATGACTGTCAGTACGTTTGCCATCATTTGATTGGTTTGAAGACCGCCACAGACCTGATCCCTGATCCACGACAGCTCACCGAACAAATGCAATGTCTTGTATGAGTGGTGTGTGAAAGCATTCAGCGATCATATTATCACCACTTCTTCGTCATTCAAGCCGTGAGTATATTTCCTATGAAATGGCAATTGAAGTGAAATTGTTTTGTTTTGTTTTGCCTTTTGCTGTGAAATGACATGAAATGTCAAAAAATAGTAATTAGTTTTTAGGCAAACATTATACGAGTTA